GGGGGTTGGGAGGAGGGGGTGGGGTTATGGACATTGGGGAGGGTATGTGCTATGGTGAGTGCTGTGGAGTGTGTAAACCTGGTGATTCACAGCCCTGTACCCCTGGGGATAAAAATATATTATATGTTTATAAAAATTAAAATTTAAAAAAAACAAAAAAGATTCTCATCTGAATGTGAAAGAAAGGTGCACTCTCCCTGCTTTGCCACTTTGGGCAAGTTTCTTAACATCTCTGAGCCTGTTTCTTCATCTATAAAGCAGGGATAGTAAGTAAGTAAATAAATAAATAAATAAATAAATAAAGCAAGGATAATAATACCTAGCTCAAAGGATTATTAGTAAAGCTGATTTGAAGTAATGTTTATAAAATGCTTAGCGTAGTGCCTGCACATAGGAAGAGTTCCATCCACAAGAGTTGTCTGTTCCTGTTGAATGAATGGCCAGAGAGAACTGAGAAATTCCTAAGTGTAATCAAGTGGTTAACATTATAGCTCAGTTCAACAACAACAAAAAAAGGGGTTGTGTTTTCTCAAGAAAAACATGTGGGAAGTAAAGACCACAGGTAATACTGTATTATTTCTAATACCTGGGATGGAAAAACCCGTGTCCTTATTTTCAGGGACAGATCAGATGGAGAGTGTTGGGGAAAATGAGACTCCTATTTGACAGTGGGTAGCCCAATTCTGGAGAGGAAAGGAACACAGCTGAAACTTCCAAAATATAGCCCTGGAACTTGACCAAAAGGTTTTCAAATAAATATAACCTATGACAAAAATGGGGAGGAAAAAAAAAACCCATTCTAGGGTCATGCAAAGCCTGAAAAGGAAAAATTCTAAAAAGGTGTTACTTGACTAGATAATTTCTGGTCTAAATAACATGAAACCAAATAAAATTATGAAAAACAGAATTGTATCAGATTACACATAAAATTTTTATTGAGAATTTTGTCTTGTTACAAAGAATCCATAGGCCTTTAGTTATATTATATGGGTAAGATGCTGGACAGCAAACACGGTTACCAAAAGTCATCTGTTCCTTCGTGAGAAAAGCCTGTGAAACTAAATTAGGGAAAGATAAAAACAATTTTAATTTATTAAATTCTTGTGAAGTTTATTCAGGGATCCTCATAATATTTGCATTCTTTCTCTGTGGGGTTTCCGACCTTGTTTAAAATTTCTCTCAGAAGTAATTTCACAAATTAAAAAATGAAACAGATTTATCTTTTTGAAGTCTTAATTTTGATTTTCACTAATTTTTCACAGAGAGACTCAAATATCTGAACGTTTCCCTTGGCCAACAAACCGGCAACGTAATGGTTTGTGTAGGAACACCGCACTGAGGAAACCATACCTTTCGTCTTTATCGCTAGATGGCAGCAGGTCCACTTCTGAGGCTTCTCTGCCAACTTTTTTTGAACTCTGACACAAAGAGGGAAGAATTCTGAAATTACATATGTATCAATCTTATTCAACACTCTGATTTCTCTCAGGACTAATCTGAGATATAGATGCAATTCAAAAGTCTAAGAAAGAGGGGACTTTTAAACATGAAATTCAGCAAGCACATAAAAAAACTATCTGGTGCCCATTCTCAATACCCATGGTGAGACAGAAGTAAAACTCCAGGGCTTCGGACAGTACTCAGACATTCATTATTCATGAACAGAACTTCATTATGTTCTTTTTGTTCTTAAAATGATAGACATCCTAAACTTATAAAATATGACAAATCAAAACCTCTTCAATCTTCACCCAAGCAAAGCAAGGATATTTTGTCGAGTCTCATGTATCAAAAAGACTCAGGGCTCTATCTGAACTGTGGATTTTCTATGCTTCCACCTTTTTGGCTCCAATGGAGAAGGCAGATTTGGGTCCTACAGTTTTGGAACAAACGAAAGCATCTTGGCAGCCCCCTCCACAGAAGGCTGGTCCGCAGCATCAGCACCTTTTCTGCTGTCTCCTGGTCTTGTTCCTGCTGAATAATCTTCATGTATTTCTCCAAAGGATTTTCACCACAAACAGACTGGCCTTTTATTTCTTCAATATTGATTTCTTTTTCCATTTCAATTTTCAAGGACTCTTCAATCATCCTCTGTGGAATTACACGTGCCAACACAGGAAATACACAAACACATTAAAACAACCTGTAAGTGTTTAAAAAGGCACAGTAATATAATCTTGGTCCTGTAAGTACAACCTGCATGCCAAAGAACTGGTTTTTTAGTTGAAGTCATTGCTATCAAAGGGGGACAAACAGGTCATCTCACTGAAGGAAGGCATTAATTCACCTCAAATGTCCTGTGCTTTACGCCAGATGAACCAGGAGTCCAAGGAACATCCATAGGGAAGATAAATTCTGGTAAGACTCAGCAGGTATGTGAAGTGGCCAGAGTAACCCATGTGCCTGGGACCAGAAGCAGGACCAAGGTGGTCAGAAGAGAACCAGAGGAAGGAGGAGAGCAGGGGTGCCCCTGAAAGCCACTGCTGACCAGCAGTCACCTCTGCAGGATTACCCTTGTTCCAGCTAGCTGACGTTGAATGTCTTCTTTAAAACCCATTTTTAAAAAGGAAAGACCTAGAACAAAGCCAAGCCCACCTTCTTTATGGCTTGTTTCCAGGACCAGATAAGAATGCACGAGAATGAGCTTGCAAAACCTCCCCTTTGCTGCTGAACTCCTAAGGTCTTTGTTATACACAGCCTTTCTCAGTGCTCTTAAGCAAAGAAGACCGGGATACCTACTGCAGGCTTTTAATACTAAACTTATAACTAAAATTTGTATGGAACCTCAAAAGACCCAAATAGCCAAAGCAATTTTGGAAAAAGAACAAAGCTGGCGGTATCACAATGTCAGATTTCAAGATATACGACCAAAGCTATAGTAATCCAAACAGTATGGTACTGGCACAAAAACAGACACACAGATCACTGGAACAGTGAGCCCGAAAGTAAACCCATGCTTGTATGGTCGACTGACTACAACAAAGGAGGCAAGAATATACAACAGGGAAAAGACAGTATCTTCAGTAAGTGATGCTGGGAAAACTGGGCCACTTTCTTAAACAAAAATAAGCTCAAAATGGATGAAAGACCTAAATGTGCAACCTGAAATCACAGAAATCCTACAAGAGAGCAAGAGCAGTAACTTCTCTGACATTGCCCTTGGCAATATCTTTCTAGATATGTCTTCTGAGGCAAGGACAGTGAACCGTCAGAACGGCTAAAGCCAAAGAGACAATCGACAGCAACTGTTGGTGAGGATGTGGAGAAAAGAGGAACCCTGTGCCCAGCTGGTGGGCACGCAAACGGTGCAGCCGCTGCGGAAACAGTATGGAGGTTCCTCAAAATATTAAAGACAGAATTACCCTATGATCTAGTAATTCCACTACTGGATATTTACCGAAAGAAAACAAAAACAATCATCTGAAAAGATACACGCACCCAGATGTCTACTGCAGCATTAGTCACAATGGCCAAGAGAGGGAAGTAGCCCGAGTGTCCACACATGGGGGAGGGGGTGGAGAGGGGCTGTGCACACGATGAACCAGTGCTCAGCCACAGAAAGGAAAAGGATGGGGTCTTGCCATCTGTGACAACACGATGGACCCAGAGACTATTATTACACTGCGTGAAATAAGTCAGACACAGACAAATACCATGTGATTTCACTAATGTGTGGAATCTAGAAAACAAAACAAATGAACAAAGAAACAACAAATCCAAAACACCCAAACTCAAATACAGACAACAAACTGGTGTTTGCCAGGGAGGAGGGGGGTAAGGGGTGGGGGAATAGATAAAGGGGATTAAGAGGTACAAACTTCCAGTCATAAG